CCGTGCAGCTGGAGCGGACCCGGCTGGAGGGAGAGGTCAGCACGCTGAGGGAGCAGAACCAGAACCTGGACATCACCGCGGCCCGGCTCACCAGCCAGTACCAGGTCAGTCGAGCCGAGGAGCCCCTGGGCACGGACGCCCCCCTGCCCCGCCCTGTGCTGGGGTTCGAGCCGCTGCCTTCGGGGGTCAGTGCTCTGGATTCAGGACTCTGATTTCCCAGGAATGTGTAAGCGCCAGGTCAGGGATGTTCGATCTCGGAAACGCCCCGTAGATAAATATCGCCCCCTCTTCCAGTGAGCGTGATGGGCTGTTGAGCACTGAGACAGACGCGGTACCCGGCTCGGCCACAAGGTGGCGGCAGTGTGACGGCGTGCTTGCCGGTGTGAGTAACTGTGCGTGTCTCCGGGCTCAGCTGCTGACCCAGCTTAAAGCCAACCTGGAGGAGGAGAACCGGCACCTGGTGGACCAGAACCAGAGCCTGAGCCAGGAGAACCGGGCCCTGCTGGAGAAGAGCTTGCAGAGCCGAGACCAGCACCATCAGCAGCAGAGGGAGTACATGTGAGCACTGAGCACCCCCTGACACACTGAGCACACACTGAGCACCCCCTGAGCACACTGAGCACACACTGAGCACCCCCTGAGCACACACTGAGTGCCCCCCGAGCTCTCTGAGCACACACTGAGCACTCCCTGAGCACCCCCTGACACACTGAGCACACACTGAGCACCCCCTGAGCATACACTGAGTACCCCCCGAGCTCTCTGAGCACACACTGAGCACTCCCTGAGTACCCCTAACACACTGAGCACCCCCTGACACACTGAGCACCTCCTGAGCACACACTGAGTACCCCTTGAGCTCTCTGAGCACACACTGAGCACCCCCTGACACACTGAGCACCCTCTGAACAACCTCTGAGCACCCCCTGAGCACTGAGAGTCTGTCCCCTGTCTTCAGGGACAAGCTGAATGAGCTGCGCAGGGAGAAGCAGAAGCTGGTGGAGAAGATCATGGATCAGTACCGGGTCCTGGAGCCCACCATGCCCCTCCCCAGCAAGGCCAAGTGAGTCCTCGACCCGCCGGCCCTGGGCCCGGCCCGCCCCACTGGGCCTGGTCCTCCCACTGGGGCTGACCGGCGCCGGCCGCTCTCTGTCGCCCCCTGCAGGAAGACCAGCTGGATCGCGGACAGGATGAAGAAGCTGATCAAGCCGCGCGGGCGAGAGGGCCGGGAGCCGTTCCGCGCCCAGTTCATCGCCGCGGGCAGCGTGGAGAACCTGGCCGACGCCACGGAGACGCCCGAGAGCAGCACCC